CATCTAAATCATGCTCTAGGGAACTGTGTCGATCCGTATCACGCCTTTTATAACTTGCAAACTACCTTCCCATGTGTCGAAGAAACAAAACCAGGTGGAATGTCCATGCACACCTCCTCCTCAAGATTCCCATGGAGAAATGCATTTTTGACATCCAATTGGTGCAGCGGCTAGTCCAAATTTGCAGCATGAGAGATTAATATTCTCACAGTATTTAATTTTGCTACAGGTGAGAAAGTTTCTTGATAATCTATCTCATATGTCTGAGTATATCCACTCGCAATAAGCGTTGCTTTATATTTTTCAACTGATCCATCTGCTTTGTGTTTGATAGAGAACACCCATCTACATCCTGCAGTTTTCTTTCCTTCGAACAATGGCACGAGTGCCCAAGTATCATTTTTCTATAATGCTTTCATCTATTCCTTTATCTCTTGGATCCATTTGGGATTATTCATAGCTTCACTCACTGTATTTGGAACATCATCTACAGATAATTTATGAACCAATGCCTTGAGAGGTTCAGACAATCTTTGAATTGAGATATGGTTGGGAATTGTGTACTTTAGTGTGCTTGTTCCATGATTGAATGACTAACGGTTTGGTGGTTGCCCACTGTTATGCCTGAAAGGTAGTTTATAGCCAGCAGAAATATTTTGAGGAAAGTTTAGAACTTGTACCTCAGGAATATTCTCGGTATTCTCAGGAGATTGGTCTCATTGTGGTAATGTCAGGTCAAGGAAGGGCTGTTCACTTTCAATTTCCACGGTTTCTCCATTTTGATCTGCTCTTGCTGGTTGTTGTTCAGTCTCTGTTTCGACATACTTAGCATTTTGAATCTCTCCCCTTTGGTCTATCAGTATTGTCATCGATTCTCTTAGTTGAACCTCCACCCCCTACATCATTTGAAGTTTCTTCGAGGCCTAGCCAATTTTCCCAATTCTGCTCTTCACTCATCGTCTCCTCCTAAAGAGAGGAGCAGAAAGATTGAGAAGCAAAGAAATTCTCTGATTCAATAAAGGTGACATCCATGGTGGTATAGAGTCGCCTCGTAGCTGGATCATAACATCGATATCCTTTATTGTGAGTTATATAGCCAAGAAAAACACAACGGATAGCATAGGGATCCAACTTTGTTCTTTGATTCTTGTGTATATGAACATATGTAACACAACCAAACATTCTTGGAAAAAGTAATAAAACTGATGGTAATGTCACATGTTGTGCGAGAACTTGAAGAGGGGTTTTGTACTTCAAGACTCGCGATGGTATTCAGTTTATCAAGTATACAGCAATCACAACTGCATCTGTCCAAAATCGTTTAGGTACATATGCAGCAGTTAAGAGAGCTCGAGTGATTTCCAAGATGTGTCTATTTTTGTGCTCTGCAACACCATTCTGCTGCGGTGTTCGAGAATAAGACGCCTCATGAAGCAAACCATATTCCTGAAAGTATCTGTGAAATTGTGCATTATCATATTCCCCACCATTATCAGATCTAAGGATCCGAAGTTTAGCAGAAAATTGTGTACGAATCATATTATGGAATGATCGAAAAATTTCAAACACTTCATGTTTATTCTTCAACACATAAAGCCAAATCACTAGAGAGAATAATAATAGAAGCAGGGCCCCAACCGCCAGAATGAACAATCAAAAAAGGAATGTCACATTTATTCAAATTGATTGGATAAGGTACACGATGACTCTTAGCTTGAATACAAGCTTCACACTTAAAGTCTGGCTAATTAAAATTTGTAAATAAATCTAGAAATAAACATCTCAAATACCGAAATGAGGGATGCCACAACCGATTATGACATAACCAAATTTTCCTTTCCTTGATTCCAGCGGAATGCATATTATTTG